AAGAACCCTGTTATTTCCTCAAGCCATTGAACCTCCCCTAACTCAAAACCGCTTTTCAATAACTATGTGACTATACATAACAAATTTTTTTTAAAGAAAAAAGTACATCCCTTGTATTCTTCAAAAGTCAAAGTATGATAAAATTCTTGAAAGTATTTTATTGACAAATATACATTAATAACTGGTTCAAGTAGGATAAGAGGCTTGATAAAGTAAATTGTGCTGTAGTAATTCGGCTGGAAAAACATTCTGATGGCAAATAACTGCACTCATAGAATGCTTTTATCTAGTGAATTGCAAATGATAGAAAAGACATTTGGGTAAAATTAAGGTTCCGTTTATTTTAGTTATTATATTTACTGCCAAAAGTTCTTGATCTAACCAAAAAAAAGCGTATCTTTTTACTTAGCCTTGAAATGAAATAATTTTTGTGTCTCTCTAAAGAGAACACCTAAGAACAGTATGTATCCACACACTCCTTAGCCAGTCTGCCTTCCTGGGTGCACAGATTGAATCTTTAGCTAAATAATGTGGCTTCCAAGGGAAGACTTATTCCCACACCTGCTGAAACAGGACTAATGGAGGCCACTAGAGAATCGCATTGGACTTTCCTGAGTTCACAGAATTTTGTCCTGTGTTATGCAAGTCTCTTCAACTAAATAAAGATGGTCTAGATGACTTCTTATCTTTTATATTAGATATTTTTAAGTGCTTTTCTTGCTGAAAACATTACTTTTTATGACCTTGAATTCTAGTTGTAATATTTTGCTTTGCATTTCTACAAAACTTATCTTGAATGTGAAAACTCATATAATTATTGCACATCATTTTTCTGCCTACGTTAACGTACGTCATTCCTTCAGAAATAGCAGCATGAGAAGTGAATGTTTGAAACAGTTTTACAATATAACTAAAGGACTTGTTAAAAATAAAAAAGTAGGCATAACTCTCTTGGAAGAAGCAGTGGAGTAGCCCATTTGACAGTTACATGGGTTCTTCCCTTCAGTATCTTCAAAAGTACTAAACAAAACTATCAATCATAAAAAAGAACAAACATAAAACTAAACACACACACACAAAAAAACCCAAACACACCAAACCCCCAACAAAATACCACTGAGAACATGAGGAATAAATGGAGGCAAAGAGGAATGATCTATGTTAAAAAAAATCATAAAACAGGGAAAATGGCAACATCCAGTCATTTCTTGCCTCAACAGTTGTCCTGAGAACTAAAACATGGAATGGGTTTTGTCACAAGGAGCATATACCTTCTCTCGCAAAGTGGATGTTTACTCCCTGAAGCCAGGAGAAGTGTGACATGGCCAACTATAGGAATCAGCAGGATTATAAAACTGTAACTTACCTCTTGCTTCACTCAATGGTTAGGAATGGATTGTAGAGCTTGACAGCATGTTGGTTTCTCCCTTTCTTGCAGGAGAAAGGAGATAAGGAAGGCCAGGCTAGATAATGCAGCAATTGCAGGGTTTACGAGATGCTTGGGAAGCTTTTTCTTAACTAATTAACTAGTTCTGCAGGTAATTCCAACTACCTCAAGAGAAAGTTACAGATGTCAGCAAAAGTACAAGAGCATTTATTGCTCATACAGCTTTTGACACAAACTGGAACAGGTGGCATTGCTTTTTATCTGCTGCTTTGCTTAAGGAGTTTGCAACATGGCAACTGATGAGATGTTGACAAGAATACAAAAATACAGTTGGTCTTCTTCTTTACAAACAGAAAAATTGGACGGCTGGAAAGCCTTTTCTTACTGTGGCCTTATAAAAGTATTTTCCTCATCTTATTTAAAGCTTTAAGCAACAATTCCAAGTATAGAAAACTTCTGAATGACAGAGGTTGAAAAACTAGGCAGACTTAGCCCAGCTTCTGCTGCTCTCACCTCTTCTAGCAGTCCAGAAAGCAGAAGCTGTTTGCAGTGGTATTATCATGACCACTAGATACTGTGAAATCTTAACTAGTTTAAAGGAGAAACTAAAGAAAAGCTGCTGCTGAAGTCACATCCCTGCCCTGGTTACAGGAAATTTCTAATTTCAAAAAGAAAGCTCTCAAAACAACAAAAAGATAAGGTAAATACAGGCAAGAATAAAAATAAAGGTCCCATATTTACTGCAGATTTCAGTGACAGGAGCTCAGGTGTAGCTGAGCATATTTTTCCCCTCTGGAGAGGTGAGAAGGTTGACTAATTTAGTACTTTTTTTTAAATTCACAATCTGTTCCACCCATACCGTGGTAAGCAAAGTCAGGTGCTGGAATAATGTACGCACAGTTTGTATGATTATGTATGATCAGAGATATATAAACAAACAGTAAATACATCTGAATAAACTGGGTAATAAAGATGTAAGTCCATTGTTACTGCTACATGAAGTTCCTTCAGTGTTTACAAATGGAAGTGTGCGTGTATTGACATAACAGTCATCGCAATTTCCCTAAGAAATTGGATGAGAGACAGAGTGATACTGCATATTTCTGCTTTTCTTAGTATATTGTTTACCAGGGAGATCTGCAAACACTAGTTTACTTTGAGTATTAAAGAGAATAAATGGAAAAATATCTACTATTAGCTCTCCAAGAACAGGGGTAACATCGTCATAGTTACAAGCCTTTCACAGGTCACTCAACAAATTTCTGCAGTCGAAACACAAGTTTGATGGTCTATCCATAAATTATGCTGCCAAACGTAGTTGTTAAGAACATAGGTTTTTGAAAACATTGAAGTTTTGTAAGCATTTAAGCTTTGGACAAAGCAAGCCTGGAATGAAGAGGCTGAAAATGGAGAAACATCTGATCTGTATACATTATAAGGCCAAAAGGGTCCCCTGTGATCATTTATACTACCTTCCCTATAACGCATCCCACAGGACTGTTCTCGCAGGCATTGATCAGAAGAAATCAATTCCTCGTTGAAGTAGAATATCTCTTTTAGAAAGATACCCAGATCTGTTTTAAATCTGTATCCTCACATAATTATTCTAACAAACATGGCATTTTGACTCTGAATTTGACTTGCTGTAGGTTCCCATATTGAATCATATTATTCCTTTAAATGCTGGACTGAACAGCTCTAAGACTGGGCTTTTTCCCAACCAGAGGTTTCAGGTTTCTTTGAAATGGCATTTCAACTTGAATTTGGTAATTCAGGTTGAGTTACTACTGATTTGTTATAAAGACAAAAGTAGAACAGAGGAAAATGGGGAGAAAGAAAGAAATAACCTTCCCATCTACCAGCCTGGCTCATCGTATTACCACAGGACCATTGTTTTAACCAGCAAAAAAATAAGTCCCATGCCTCCAATCCCATAAGCCTTTGTAGATTCCTAGCAGAGATTCATGGGCATTTTTTTAGGTGTTCTGAATTGAAAAATAGCTGTCTAAGGACAGAGGAAGAGCTAATTCTTTCCAGTTTCATCTTGTGCTCCATCTTTGGTATTGAAGAGGAAGCACGATCTGACAATAAACAACAGAGCACACTCACATTTGGAAACTCAGTGTTTGTTTCTATGTTATATGTGCAACTTCAAAAACACAAGGGGAAAACTGTAGTACTGTGGCTTAAAACTAACTTGGACCTCCTTATGCTCAAATGCTTCTGAAATGAAGAAGTCTGCAGCATCCTTCCTAAAAATCCAGTGTCTTTCACCTCCCTCACAACCGTTTCCAGTCTTTTTCTTTTTCTCTCTTCCATTCCCCATAATTTTCTCTTCTCTCATGATATGCAAATATAGTTCATACTGTCCTGGCAAGCCATGTGCTCACATATCAATCGCAAGAATTGTGATCAATCTTTCTCTGCCTGTTGCATCTCTTATGCTTATGGTGACTTGGAACAGAATGTGCGTCAGCTGCCAGCAGAGACATTCTTAGGAAACAGGAATGAAACAAATTACCCGCTAAAGACAGCGAAGATCATTCCGCTAGATCAAAGTACAAACCAGCAGGATTTTCAACAAAGTCAACAGTATCTGAATCAAGTTAACACATTCCTCCCCTTTTAAAAAGGGATTTTCACAACATATTCCTAAATTTTGGCATCAGAATAAAAAGCTAATATAAATATTAGATAACTTTATAGTTTGTAGAAATCTACTCAACACTAACTGAAATTCAGGAAGTCCCAGTCCAATAAAAATGGTGCAGTGTACGATGTCTGGAATTATTTGAGGACAGCCTTCCATTTGCCTGTTTCAAAGTTCATAATACAAAGGGTATCACTGGAAAGAAATGTTCAGAATATACTCTTTAGATCATATATACTCTAGGGACTGCTTGCTGCAGGCCTGCTGAGAGACAGATGGCCAAATCTATGGTCCCAGTTTCCATTTGATAGCTTGTTTTAAGAGACAGAGAGAAGTATATAACATTAATGTAGTATGCTAATATTACTTCCTAGAAAAGACATGGATGAAACTGAAGTTCAAAAATATTAAAAATACTGATAATACAAATACAATACAATAATACAAATATTAAAAAATACCGATAGAAAGGTATTTCACCAGTAAACATAAGTGGAAAAGAAAAAGAACAATGAGAATTAAGAAGAAAAATGATACCATATAAAACACTTTTTACTATAAGGTAATGCATATTAGGAAGTTTTCCAGGAACTGGCTCACAGCATTGTAGGAACACAAGAAATTAAACAGTTAAGGCAAAACAAAGAACAGAAATGATAGTTCAAGAACTTCATTTATGTGATTTTACATCAGCAGCTTTAGACTGTGATGTACCAACTAGACTTGCTAAGAAATTTTATAACTGTTGCTACTGTTTGAGCAATCCACAGAGAGTAACTTTTTGCACTTACCTTGTTATAGACAGAATAGCAGGATTACGTTTTACTTTTCTGATGAATAAGGGCCAAAAGTGTCCCAGCTAAATAAAATCCTTGCAGCACTGCACAATCATCAATATTCATCTACCTGCTATTTCAAGTAAGCTCACAAAATGGTTAGTTAAAAATGTAAAAACAAAATCACCTGCAGAGCAATCGTGGTATTCTTCGCAGGATATTTCCCCACCAGTCCTTGTTCTTTGCGTTTCTTGAATTTCCTAAAGTAGTCCTGTATCAGGAAGGTGGCATAGAACTTCCCCACGGTTACCTCATCATCTAAACGAACAGACCAGACAGAGCTCTCCCAAGTCAGCACATTTATCAATAGCCTGTACACTCCTATCTGATTTGGGGCCAAAAAGGCGATGGGTGCAATAGGTACTATGCTTTCAGCTTACAACAACGGAACCTGTAACTAGCTGAAAAGCAATGTTTTAGCAAGCAGTTTAGGCTCAGTCAGTTCAGTGAACACATCCTTAATAAAGAAGCAAATACAATACTTTACCCAGTCTCATGTACTTCTGCGTAAGTTCGTGTAAGTTTCTAACAAAACCGTAAACGTGTTTGTATATGCACAGCAGCTGAAAGACTGGCTTTAGTTACTTGGAATAAATGAATTAAAATAAAAGCTACTAGGACTTGCATATATTTAAGTTCACAAGAGCGACTCTATTAAAAAAAAAAAAAAAGTCCTGCTTACAACGTTACAACATCTCGCTTTTATTTTTTCACTGCTGAACCAAATTTGCTTAGTCAGTGTATCAATATAGCATTGTTCTGATTGCATAAGGACTTTGACATTTTTACAGCCAGCTTCGCTATGCACATTTTTTTATTGGTGTCATGCCCTCAATGTAATACCCGAGGATCTCTCAGTTTGAATTTTATCTGTGTCCCAGATGCTCATGTTCGGCTGTATCTTCTGCTATCTTATTGTCACCCAATAAGACAGATTCTAGACTGAGGAAATCCCACAGAGGTTACAATTTCACATATTTTCTATGAGACTCTTGTTTAAGTGAAGCTGTGGTCCTTAGCCACCTTCTAGACAGCTGATGACGATAACAGTAAATATGAAACAACGTGGCGCTTTGCCACATTACTGTATTGTATCAGCTCTGCAATGCTGACAGAAATGAAAATAGCTGCCATTAGTTCATTCAGTACAATTCAAAAGATACGCAAACAGCAGGTGCCGTAAGAGCTAGCATTTTTACAGAGTCACTGTTGTGAACAAAATCCAAATTTCAAACTTTTCAAAGTTTAAAGGCAGGTAGCATATCAGGATATCGAAATCGCCTGGTTCATAGCATGTTAAGAATGTACGTGCCTATGAGTCCCACTGAATCATTCAGCTGCGCAAGTTTGATCTCTTGATGAGTAACGCTTGCCAGAAAACTAGGAATAGTTTTCTATTCAAAAACATTGCTTTTTGGGTTTTTTTTCCCCCACACTTTTTTTCCCCCAGAGTTATTTGGCACGAAGGTGGCTATTTCCCTTTCTGCTGTGTTGCCTGCCCTCTCTCAACACATTCTGTTAAGCAAGCTTTTTCTCTAATTGATTGTCAATCAAATTCTCTAATCGATTGTCATATACTGTAACGTCACACATCAACATTCAATTAAAAGAGTCTCCTCATGTCTTCATTTTATCAATAATAATGTGTCCCAATGTATCTCACTAGGGACAGTATTTCTAATAGTATTTTTACCTATATGATGACAGTCTTTGCTAATTTAAATTTAATTAACTTTCTTCTTTTCATGACTTGCTTTCACATCAATAAAAAGGATGGGGAAATCCAATCCACATGCAATACTGATTAAATTCATTTGCACCTGTAACAAATTTGTCTCAAAATGGATCTTCTACCATCCAAAATAAGCTCCTCTCATTATAATGTCTGAAACGGGCTGTAAGCGTGTATGAAAGTATGACAGGCTTTAAATTCAGTAAAAATGCACCAGGGATATATTCTCCCAGCATTTTATTTGTCTTTAAATGTCTCAAAGCAATAATAATTATAATAATTGCTTTAAAATATCCTGGTTGGGAGACCAGTCTGTTGCAGAAAATATCTTAGCCCATTAAAGAGCCTGCTCTGCCAAATACTGACATCTCTTCGAGTTCCCCCAGTTCCCACCAGGAAACAGCAGGAACTCCACAGCTCGCAAGAAAAGCTCACCAGTCTGCAGATTCAGTCTCAGCAGTAAAAAGCTTTCTGATTGACTCCCCAAAACTAATTTCTAAACTTTTTGTGAACATTTGCTTTGATGTTCATCTGTAATCTCTCTCAGCAGCTCCTCAGAGACTAATGGTGTATTGTATCAGGAAGAGATCTCTTCTAAAGCATCTCCTCTGCACTTGCCTTCCTTAGCTCAGGTGAATCCATTGATCTGCAAGGTAGCCTTGGTCAAGCTCCCCAGGTAAACCTTTCCCCATCCTTTACACTAATTTGTTTTAAGTATTTGAACAGAACTTTTAAGGAAGTGATATAGCAAATGGCTCCTACAAAGAACAAGGACATAGAAGTGACAGACTTGATATAACATATACTACTATGGGTTGCACTTAGAGCATGTCTCAAGTCAGGCTATGACATTGCACGACTACTGACTGTACCTGAGATGACCATACCTGCAAAGTCTCAGTATGCAGAAAGGAAGAGCTCTTATTGACCACTCTGGACATGCACCAACTTTTTGTAAGCGTATTAGATGAATGCATTACCAGTTTGCTGAATTATGCATGCCAAAGTCTTTATGTACAAACAAGATGTATGTGTACTTCACAGGCACAGTCAGTTGTACTGCAGACACGTGCACACAAGAACTGAAGCCTGGCCAAGGGGAGCCATCCTTGACTTTGTTTTTTAAGTAACACACATATAGGCAGATATGGACAAGTAGAGGGAGGCAGCTAAGCATAACTGACCACAGAATAGACAAATCTATAGTTACAATTAGTCACAGCAAAAGGAATCATTTCTGTAGGAAGTTTTTGGGAGAGGGCAAAAAGTATTAGGCAGGATTAAGTGGGTTTGCAGGTGGAGACCCGGGAGTTTAGAGAATACAGGTGAATCTTTAGCGAGTTGTATGTGTTCCTCTTACTCTCTAGTCTCCTCCGAATGTTAACTCATTCCTACATTCAGGCGTTTGACTGACATTCTATGATTTTGCAAAGCAGTTTAATTTTTCTGTACTGAAAATGTGTTGCTGTTAACAGTTTAATTAAGTTATAGTAACGAGTTATTTAACCAGCACCAATAATTAACTAACTGTCCATTTCTAGTGCATCTATTTATAATTCAGGACAAAAATGCTATACTGATTATTTTCATTCTGCCCTGCAAGTAATTGTTCTGTTTGTGTTCTGGAGGCGTGGTCATGCATGGAGGATTTACAATTCATTCAGTGATACCAGCAAAAGTAATACTGGAGAAAAAACATTATAAACTAGACCACTTAATAGTTTTAAGTGCAAGTGATTTCAACAAACTGAATTTGGATGCTTTGTTGATTTATATTGAAGACAATTATCTGTCTCCTAGCAGATTGTTACTATCAGCTCTCACTGGTGTTACTGTCGTATACAATTTTCTATTGAATATTAAGCATCCACAGAAACTAATTTCTACTGTATACTAAGCTATTTTACACTCCTATGGCGTATGAATGTAAAATAGCTGTGTTCCTCGTTTTTCTAGGTGGGTTAGAGTATTTCCAATTTTCAGGTAAGTCATAACAAAGTCCGCAGAGAAACAAACCAAACTGAAATAAAAAATTTGTAAATCTTAAGGACTTCCCAACGCGTTCTTATTTATACTGGGTTGTAGAAGCCATACTGTTTCCTACCAATCGAGCAGCGATCCAGGTTTTCAGCCTTCTAGCTACACTGAAGAGCTACATTTGCAGAATAAATATTAGCAATGAATTTTAGTATAGCTGAAAATAAATATACAGCTTATATTCAGCAATGAAATGAAGCTGAAGTTAACGGTGAGTTACTATGTAAGATTAGTGCTAGGAATGTAATGTTTACAGATTCTTTGTCAGGTTGATTTAGGCAGGCACAGCTCGCTATTCTGAAGCATGCATCTCTATTTCAATTAAAAAATGTAGGGGAATAAAGTTGGCAAGAGGCAACACTAATTCCATGCCACCACCCTAAAACAGAATTGCTTCAGAATATTCGGAAAGACTCATAGTTGAAAGGAACAGAGGCTGCAGAAAAAGCTCAAGCACATAGTTACAACAATAACAAAGCAATTCATCTATGCCATGCAAGCACTTAGGTGTAAGGCTAAAACCAACAGAGTAGAACACAAAAAGTCGTTTTAAATGTGCAGTATCAGTTCCCCTTTGGATAGTCAAATTTGCTAGATTTTTGCCTTCATCTCCACTATCATCTGGCAGCCACCACGTCAGTAGCAAGTGGCTCCCTCCAGCGACAAAGCTAATGCTGCTTCTTCGGTCATGCTGAACAGCAGTGCAGCCAGCATGCTCTTCCTCCCCTAGAGACTGAGAGCATCACCTTCAGAAAGGGATCAGCCTCCACCACCATCGGGCCTGGGATCTTGAGTCTGCTTCCAAACCTGAGTCTCAGCAGTCTTGAAAGCTGCCGTAACGCTATAAAAGTCCAATAAACTACAAGAAATACCAGATGATTACAATGGATCTACGTAGTGGATGTCTAGACAAATATATCCTGGGTGTGGGTGACAGTGCAACAGATCCTGCACCTTTAAAACTTGAAAAAGCAAGTAAAAAACAGTCACCTAAACCTACACTACAGCATATTAATAAAAATGTATATATTGAAAAAGGCTAAATATATATATCAGAATATATATATTTAAAGAGAGAGATATAACAAATATTTGACATGTCATTTACAGCATGTAGGAACAACTAATATATGTGCCTTGTAGTTGTCACAACCGTATTGGTGTCATTGGAATTTAGATATCTCTTTACATGGGCCATATTCATATCTCAGTCATACTAGCATAAATCTGAATCATTTCCATTTTTGGTTGACTATGGAACTGCTCTGGTTTAAACTAGTGTAACTGAGATAATTTAGCCTCTTGCAATTATTTTTTTTTCTCCCAGAAGTATTCAACATATACAAGGATATAAGCTATAATGCAGTGTACATTGTCGAGCTTAATTAGTACAAAACACGTTATTTTGCTCAATGCATTGAAATCAAACTAAGTTTAGGGGTTTTTGCTGAATGACTTGAAATCAAGATTTAGGTCTAAAAGTATTTTTTTTCAAGCAAGAAAATAAGCATAACATTTTCCTCTCTTTCTTTTTGATCTAAAGAAGTTGTACTTATCAGTCCTATATGTATTATCCAGGGTAACAGGATATAATTCTCTCTATATTTATTTTGTTATTATTGGTTTTTTGTCCTTTATGACATTATAATTGCAAAATTTAGTAATCTTATTTCTTTGGTTCCTAACAATCTAGAAAGACCGAAGTGCACAGAGAATAGCATATTGCAAAGTTTATCAGACTGACCGCCAGCTGGAGGGACAACTTGGTCAAGTAATTTCATGCTTGTTTTCTTCCATATTTTCTTTATAACCGCTCTAAGTTCTTCATTTGCTTGCTCTAGGTTACCTGTGGCAACGAAATAGAAAAATGGAGGATGGCACTTTTGTTTCAACCAGCTGCAATGAATGATCCTTTGGGTATAAATTAGCTGTATACAAATAAAGACTGTAATAAGGATGCTTTACAGCAAGCCCAAGTTACATGAAGTAGCAGATAACAATACTGCAACTAAAGAGAAGAAAGGGTGTAAGACAGTGAGATCCTGGGGCTTTCAAATCAGTCTCTGCAGTACTGCAGAGGTTAACAGTAATTTACAGATCTTGGCTCTGGTCTGTCACTACTTAATAACTTCTGCCTAAGTTGTGCAGAAAGCAATGACTTGCTCTTTGCAAGCCACTTCTTTCTTGATCCAAAGCTGAGCCTTTATTTGTTTAATCACAGTAATTACTCAGTTGTACAGGCTTGAGAGTCCAGGCAGCTGAATACTGAGCATTTTTTCATCTCTTGCAGTGCTCACCTAAACCACAGCGATGCCTGAGGTGGCTTAATCTAATCAGATTGTTATTGGTAGTGGAACTCAAATTCTGCTGAGAATAGCAGAAGACATGGAAAAGAAAGTAGTAAAAGATGGTAAAATAATGAAAAAATGTATGAAAGTACAAAGCAAAATTCTTCGAAACGTACCACTTTTTTTTAGAACTTTTCCCTCTCTGATGCAAATAACAGAAGCCCATTCAGCCCAGTGAGAACTGGCCTCGACCAAACTGAGGATGTTGCTTTCAAGTGTGCTAAAGTTGCAGTTGCATCAGCGTGGGATCCAAGGCACCAAGTTAAAGAGTAGTGAAAAAAGAGCATCTTGGTCAGACAGAAAGGGGAACTCATTCATTCTTTGGACTAGAACTCCTGTTATGCCACTGTTACATGTTTTTATCTGACCAGGTAAAGACATGTAATAATTTCTGAGATTTCTTGGGCTTTTGCCTCACTACCCCTTTTCTTTCATTTTCTAGCAAATCATTCATAGCAACAGTGAATAAAACCCGTGATCCAAAAGCAAGCCAAACCCAGTGAGACTAAGGCAGCCTTACTCATGTCCAACAGAATGAATAACAAAAAATTGTAACTTTTCCTCATTGGACCTTCTTACAAGTGCAGTAAAGGCTTTACAGCCAAGAACCTTACCTTCTGTTTTTATCTTTAGAGCAGTCCTAACCAAAGCAAACAAAGTAGCGTTAAACATGACGGTTCCATCGCTGTTTAGTGGCATATTCATGGCTACTAACCTCTGTAAATGAGAAAAGGGAAACAAATCTTGATGTGGCTTTGTTTGAAAAACAACCTCCTGCAACATTCATTTCTGAAAAGCTGATGTATTCAAAGAATAATATCCAGAGAGGCATAAAAATTTTATGTCTTCAAAAAAAGTTGAGTCTTCCACCCTAGCTGTGTATAATAACCACCCAGTAACGCTTCTTTCTGATACTAATCACATGCATGCGTATACAAAAGCTAAAACTGTCCAGTAGTTTTCATGAGCTACTTATTGAGTTAATTGGCAAACACTGAAGCCCAGCCCTTGGCTATAAGTCACATTATGCAAGCATTAAGACAAATGCAGCTATTTAAGAGCATGCCCTCCAGCTGCAGTCATGTTCCAAGTTTCCCATGGGTTCCTCCAGCCTCATGCTCTATGAAGACCACAGCACCAGGTCTGTTGCGTATAAGCTGATGCATTTCTCAGGTAACTCTCCAGTGATGCCGTGCATCTCTTATGCTATCTGCACTGAGTTAGTGTGAAAGGGGCCTTCCTCTTTGGATTTGTCCATCTCTGCATTACAGTGTTTATCTTTTAGAGCAGTATTGCTGTGACCCTGTGTCAGAAAAACACTATTTAATCTATCACAATCTTCTCCTAGTTTCTGTCTTGAATTTTCTTCTATTCTAGTTTAAAAGCGTTACTCAGTTGGATAATTTATCTTAATGTATAGATATAGGTTTGCTTTAAGTATGCCTTTTGGCATTCCATTTGAACCCAGTGTTCTATATGTCAACTTAACTATTTATAAAACAGATATAAAAGAAATCAAATGACAGTAGTGTTGTAATGATCCTTTAATTAAAAGGCTTGATCTTATTCCAGCTGAAATCGCTAAAACCACAATATCCATAGGTCTGAAGTCCTCAAATAACATAATAATTGTTCATCTCCTTTGTGTTGCTTTTCAACTTTTATATTAAAATGCAATTAATCCTCATCAAAATTGCACATCGTGTCTCTCAAATTCTACACCATTTTATATTCCCTCTAATTTTCAGTCTTCTCACTCACTGCTACATATTGTATTGCACACCGTTATTCACTTCAGCTTGGTTTATCATCTTGCAGTCCCCACCCTTCAATCTCATTTCTATGTTTCATGTGCAGCAAATTTCTCATGAAGGCAACTGTAAAAGTACTGTATCAAAGCTTAATTGTCACTTAAAGTAAACTACCAGCCTCTTCTCCCTGGGACTGAAGAGAAATCAGAAATGCCACTGAGTTGAAGTAGTCTTATATGTGACAGAGGGTCCCCAGAAATGCTGGGATGAGGTAGTTCATATACATGACAATAACAGACTAATGACAGGTTTACAGAGACTGACCCCATTCATTCTGATGATCTGTGAAGAATTTTACACTGGTGGTAACTACTCAAATGAGTACACTGAAATAAATGACGCTAATTTTGCTGGTTTAAGTTAAGCCTGCAAAAAACCAGGAAAACTTGAGAGTCAAGGAGACCTTGTGAGTAGACAGGATTACTGTGCATGTGACACATATTGGGCAGAATTGAATGAATGAATGTACTGTGAGAGAAACCTAGAGAGAAAATAGGGTAAAACCTACCTTACAGGCCACTCGGTGAGGGCATAATTTGCCAAAACCAAGTGGCGGCTGAATGCGTCTCAGTAATGTGACCACATCAAGATGTTTTATCCTTCCCCTAGAAGCAACACACGTCAGTTACCAAACATACATCCATTCCCAAAGAATATACTATGCTCTGCTTTTATTGTTTTTATCAGATAAATCTTATCAGAGAAATGATCTAACTTACTTTGCTTCAGGGTCATATTCTGACCATATCCTTTTGAACTCATCCAAATGATGGGGACCCAGAATAGACCAGTCACGTGTCAAATAATCAAAATTATCCATAATGACAGCCACAAACAAGTTTATAATCTAAAAAAAGTAATTAAGAACAATCTGCCTTAATTATTTTGAAATTTAAAAAAAACATTAAATAAGTAAAATAGTTTTATAAGGTAGCAGGTTAAGAATTCATTTATGAAATCACTTTGTTTGATTTTTGGCAAATATGATCAAATATCACAGAAAATACTTGCTGACCATTTAACTGACCAACTGGAACTCTATCAAGTAATGATATGGCATGAGTGGGATTCTATCTTACTCAGTCTTTGACATAAGCTGTAACATGGTTTTGTCTCTCTTCCTTGATTTGCCAGATCCCACTACATCAAATTAAAGAATGGACCCAATATATATATATTTGACACAGTGTAGATCTCAGGAAACAGGTCAATGTCATGACAACAGGATTCAATGTCACGACAATAAGACTTCTGCATACATTTCGTTAACACAGAAGATGATACAGAACAGCAGGATGTGAATGTTAACACAAGTTCACAGAATCCTGTTCGACCTCTCCTTTTGCAAGGAGAACAGTACTGTGACAAGGACACATCAACCAGTTTAGACCAGACACCTGCAATGAGGAAAAACATGTTTCAAAGATTATTTTAGAGCAAATAATCCATAATGCCATGGATTAGGTTATTGGTCACATCTCATGTACCACAGTTTGAGCACACTTGTAGAGACACAAATGCAAATTCTGCTAAGTTTAAATAATACAAATAGCATTACTAGTAGCCAAAGAAATTGCAGCTTTATTATTCATGAATATTTAATGATACTATTGAGAAATGCCTGATGAAAAGACAGTTAACTTAGCTTTCAAACATGCAACCAACCACTCCTGCATACATGTAGTCAGAAGAACATCTTGCATGGTTTGGGTTGGAAGGGACCTTTAAAGGCCATCTAGTCCAACCCCCCTGCCATGAGCAGGGACACCTTCCACTAGACCAGGTTGCTCAGAGCCCCATCCAACCTACCTTGAATGTTTCCAGGGATGGGGCACCTACCACCTCTCTGGGCAACCTGGGCCAGCGTTTCACCACTCTCATTGTAAAAACCCGTATAAGATACAGGATTTAGGACTGTGTATGGAAAAATATAACCTTGCAAAAATATTTTAGATGTGAGATTTTCAATCACTCTCTGAACCCATTACTCTTTCAGTTCAGAAGAAAGTCAAAATGCCAAAGCTCATTTCTGTTAATAAGCACAAACTAGACTCACCAAAAATGCACAAAGCATGTAAAAACTGATAAAATAAATGATGGCAAAATTGCTTCCACATGTGTATTCTTCTCCTGGATTATAATCGGATTCAGGATCACAGCGTTTTCCAGGCAAACATGCCAGCATGATTTCCTGCCACGCTTCTCCAGTTGCACACCTTTATGAGGTCACAAAGATACATTAGGCATTATTTGATCAAAATGGATTAAAGATATATTAATTTGTTAAGTTCTGGCAAAACACTTGAAGCTGTACAAGGACAAATGTGAAGAAAGACTGAATTTTTCAGAGCAGGAACTAATTAAAAAAATACAGAGCATGTTTCAGAAATAACAAGCATAGATCTGACATTGCAGACACATTTTATAAGGCAGACTAATGCCCCATAAAGGCTTGCATGCAGAAATTCGAACCCAAAATTGTGATTTACAAGTTAAATACATATGGAAGTGGAGCTGCTGTATATGAAAGCAGTGTTGCATATGAACACCTTTCATAAAAGCTGAAAATATCCATTTGTAAAAGATGAATTTCCTTTTTGTCAGCATGGTTGAGGAAATGCTTGTCTCTAACTTCTGCTATTGCGTTTGTTGCATAGTTGGGTAATGCCTGTGTACAGACCCATGATTTCAAAAACTTAAAAGACAACTAGATATTTATGACATTTTTTGCTGTGTTTGGTACCTAGTTTCAAAGACAAAAGTCTTTACATGCATAAAGTGACTTAGATCTCATTAGGTGATGCCCTCGGTCTCATAAGGAATGACCTACCCGTTTTCCAACCAGGTTAGTAACAATGCATAGGAGCCAAGTAGAGTTACAGAACCACAGGCAAGAGAGCTGTCGAGGCTGTCACCTTTAGAGGCATCCCTGCTCCATGTCATTCCCTGTCCTTGCTCCAGGACATTTGAAGCACTCCTGGCAAATGTTTACCCTCTTCTTAAGCTCTCTAGTGATAGAGATTCCGTAATTCTCCTACATCAAGATTTAGCTACCTTTGCCACCAGAAAGTTTTGCCTACTGCTTATCTGATATTTCCCTTCTGCAAGTTACACACTCTACTTCTTATCATCTCTTCAGCAAATGTAACACACACTTTATTTCTTTACCGTTGCAACAACCTTTCATTTTTTTGAACTGTCGTCCTGTCTGTGCTTCTACAGAATACAGGAAGGGCACAGTCTCATTCACCTTTCCCAACACCTACACAGTGATACCAGGGCAGACTATGTTTGGGCTCTACCTGAAGACAATTACTCCACAAATGAGATGTTTCACAAGAGCTGTAATGAGTTTAGGTCTGTATCACCTGACTAGAACCCTGCTGTGCCAATGGACACTCAGCATACAGCCACAGAGAGTATGTGTTTGTTATGCTAAATCGCCTCTCACTTGCAAACACATTTTGAACAGATCCATAGTACAAGAGCTACAGACGTTTTTCATAGATCAGTGAAATGGGATGCATTAAGTAAGAGCTGAAGTTTACTCACCTGAACAGAAGCAGCACAGCTTGGGGAAAAGTCTGAAAATTGTTGTTTCTGTTTATTTGATTGTTGTCCCTCATGGCCACTTTTCCAAATACCTACAATAAAACAGGATTTTGACTTTCATCCTAGTGACCTGTACTGTCAGAAGCTGTAGGCCTTGCAGTCTAAACTTGCTTCAGTACGCATGAAAAACACTTTCATAAACACACTTTCTTTATTCTTTGGTTTTTCCTGATAATGATGTAAATGCAGTAAATTTATCACATGTACAAGATAATTCTGAATCACTGAATTTAACATCAATAAACCATTATAGTACTAATACATATTCTGGTATTTCAGGTGAGAAAATATTACTTGTTTTAAACTAGCACCTAGAGTCCTTTATTGGTATCAAAGCCCTACTGCCCTAAATATTTTACATGCTCGTACTAAGAAATAATTGCTGTCCTGGAAACCTTGAAACTAAATAGAGAAAAAGAGCTGCAAAGACGGAAACCAAAGCAGAGGGTGTCAGCATCCTGTCTCAGCCAGAAATGGAAATGAGTTCTGTTCCTCAAAATTAAAGTGCAATTCCTTGGCCACAAGACATTCTTTTTCCGCAATTGGATATTTATATCCTCTTACAACACAGTGAAGGCTGTTATTTAATTTAGAGAGATTAACACCATTACAGTCTCTATACATTCTGATGGACTATAATGACATAAGTTGGTTTTGGATAAATGATGAAGAGAAAGAATCCAGAAGCAACACCACTCTCCGTAGCATATTTCTTCTATTAATCCCATTTAATTAGGACTTCCCTTTGCTTTGATTTGAGGAACGTTACAACTTCGAGAACCAAAGAAAACAAAAGAGAATTGCAGGCCAAATTCAGGATACCTAACAAGAACTTCTGCCAAAGTGTCGATGGTCACCCAGCCACGCTCCTCAGACACCTCCTTAGGCACGCGCTAGATCTCACGTGTGGCACAGAGACCACCACCTTGCAACTCAAACCACACTCCCCATCACAGCTTCATGCTCAGTGCCTTTATCTGCTGCTTTCCTGCAGTCTGCGCAGTCCCCTCTCAAACGGCTATCCCATCCTCACGTTAGAAATAGCCCAGCAGTACGAATTTTAGGAACAGCTTCCTGACAGGTTTCTCCTATCTAGCTATCTCCAGTTACTAAGACTAGAGAACCTGTCCTGCCCCACAGCACTGCTGCTGGTGTGAGGCGTGGCACCTTCAGCCCAACAGCACATTTTTACACTTTAGATTACCAACATTCTTCAATTCTTTCTGTGCTTGTACATCTTGTATATATATCCCACTCTTGATTAACCAAAGGTTCAGCTGTGCCTAAATCTTCAGCTAGATTATTCTCCTAGTTCTATTCTTTTCATATGGGAAAGACTTTAAAAAAAAACCAAAAAACCAAAAACAACAACACAAAAAACCCCCGGGGAGTTTTAATGCCTGATTCCCCAGACAAGTCTATAGTAAAAAAGAGCCATACATTCTTTCATACATCATAGGAAAAAACTCAGTGAACTTCACAGTATACAGAAGAGGAGTGGCTCCTTTCAGCAAACCAAAGTACTATAAGCTCACACCAACCTCTTCTCTTGCATGTTTCTGGATTTTCTGACTACCAAAATCATAGCTAAAAAAGATTTTTTACATTACTTTGAAAGCTCTGCCTTATATATAGCACCACTATCAAAGGAATGTTTCAATAAGCACTTTAGTAAATAAGTCTCAGAGTAGCCGACACTGTACTTTTGTTTAATGCTAAAAAAATAATCTATAATTACCTGCATTCCAATGACAGCATAGATGAAGAACAGCATGGCTATCAGAAGGGCAACGTAAGGCAGAGCCTAGAAACGGGACAGGTGCATTGTCTTTTAGTAATTTCACGCCATAATTTCAATTTCCATTTACAAAAATAATTTCTCTGTACAACACAGGCTTTTCCAAGATTTTTCTTTCTATGCTTAAAATGTTATTACTTGTCACTCTTAATATTCTGCCACATAGAATGAACACAATCTTCATTATATTTTAAATTATTTCTGCCAGCAATCCAGAGGAAGAATCATCTTTAGCAGTTTTTAATTTTATTTTCATTACTGATTCTGACAACAAAGATACTTTCTTCTATACAGTTACAGCATTCCATTAACTTCACATTCATCAGAGTTTTCAGGAGCAAGCATTCAAATATCTATGTTACACTTATGAAATCAGTTTTATATAAAAACATAAATTAAATTCCTCTTTGAAGTCATCTCATAAAATGTGTGGAAGTATAAGACTTGTGTGTGTCAAACCTATCCTATCCCTTTTAGATATACCAAATATTTTTTATGAAGTACTGTAGAAATCTCATGGTAACAGCTAATATTGAATGACAAAGAATGACCCTTGGACTCACTGAAGTAACCGGTAAAGCTTGTTTTGGCATTAGTATGCAAATATATTTAAATATGTCATTATTGATAGCAGGAATTTCAAAAGAAATGGTTTTTGCACTCTACAGGGTATTGCTTCAAAAAAATTTGGTGGATAATTATGTAAATTGGTGTTGTAATTATAAAGCAAATTTAAATAAATTTTGCTAACCTGAAAAGACTTAATAAATGTCCACAGTAAAGTTCTGATTCCTTCTCCTCTGCTAAGTAGCTTCACCAACCTCATCACCCGGAAGAGACGGAAAAACGTGATGGAGATTCTAGCGCTGTCTTCAGAGTTCTGAAGAGCATCATGGAGAAGTCAAACCAAATACAAACTCAAACATGCAACACTTCCAGAAAAACAACAACAAACGCAAAGGTGGAAGAGGTAAGATTTGAAAATGTATCTTGAGGGCCTTTTCACCTTGATAAGCATGACATGAAAGGAAAAATTACATGCTAAAAACACAGGACCTGTAGAAATGCTTCACACATCGCATGCATTTCCAAGTTTTCTGGTTTGTTAATAAGGATCATATCAGGTTTGTTTGTAGTAGACTTCAATAGTACATTGACAATGAATGCAAACCACTGCATAACACCTTTGTAGTAAGACAATTATGAAAAATACAGAAAAAAATCGGTGGAAAATAGACATGGTAAAAAGAATAAACTCAAGTAGAGGTAAAACCACTGGGGTCAGTTTACTAATCTTACCCCAGACTCATCAGTTGTGACTGTTTCAGTTGGCTTTGGCTTTAAGAAATTAAGAACAGTAAATATTAAAATCAAATAAAAGATCAAAAAAAAATCAGTTTATCCATAAACAGAAAGAAGGACATTCTTCATTTCTAAATGTAAATAGACATCTTTCAGCTCAATGTACTTCCTGAACAGAACATTAATATCCTTATTAAAACCCTCCCTTTAGCATTTCATGATGGCTGACTCATACCAAAACACTGTTGGCTGACTCATACTGAAATCTGCTAGAATAAAACATATTTAAAAGACTCAATGGAAAGTAAATACAAATAACATTTGCTCCTATGTAAGCAAAACAAAATTAGCCACCAGTTTCCACAGGCTGTATGAAATCGTAGCAGTAAGCCTAAATAAAACTCAGAACAAAGCTCTGGGGTCAAACTAGCCTTTCAAGGTCCCCTTTCTGCTGTGCCCTATTTGAAGATTAATTACACCATCGCTGGAATCTAACCATATTCAAGTAATTGTGTTTTATATCACATCAGGTGATCGCTTGAGTTAACTCACTCAGTGATGAACATTGGGTTTTGCAGTGCTTAACAAGGACAGATTTCCACTCTGCCAAAACGATAAATGTTTTTAGCACAATGACATGAAGGCTAATCCTCCCACAGAGCTGCAAATGAGAAGGCAATACTGGTACCCTCTCACCATCAACAAAGTACTCCTATACCTGAGCTGACGTAACAGGATCAGGTGTGGAGAAAGGGCTTCAGATTTGATTAACCCTTTTGGAAGAGATCTGTACGACCCACAGGGAGGAGAGAGAGACACACCAACTTCTCATTCACAGAGCCAAACGCTATTCCTCCTCCGAAGAAACTCACTTCTCTCTTTATAATGTCGCTGTCTCTCTTTGGAGAGACTGTCTCAGTATCCTGAACGGTCAGACGCTCAGCAAAGCAGCCAGCAAAGCTTAAGGGACCAACTGTCCGTGCTTGCGTGTGCACTGACAGAGTCACAGCAGCTTCTTCCAAAATTGAAAGGAAGTGTCTCTAAAAATATTGATAGCACTAGAACAAATGGGATTCTGGATGTTAGATCCAAGTGAGGGGTCTTACTCTCTTGCCTACAATCTCCTCCTTTTAAAGGGGCACCTTTCAACAATTGCTGTCACATATAGCCACAATAACCATGATGCCACCCCAGCGCTGCTTCCAACGCGTTGTGGATGCATCAGGCACACTCTCAATGCCATGCCTCACTCAGTAACATCTCAAGTATTGCTGATATCTAAGATAAAACTTGCAGAGAAGGAAGGCAAAAGAGAGGAGCTGGTTCTGCTGAAAATACTGGCAGTATATTATATAAACATAATATGGTAAAAAACCAAGAATATGCAGTACTTTGTTAAACTCAGAACATTAGCAGTATTTATTAAAATACTGATTGTTTTGTCTATTACTTTTTTTGGCAAAACATATCTAATATAAAGGTATCACGAGGGAAAAATGAGGTAAAAATAACCACTTGCTCAACTACATGCAATCTACCTATGTGTACATTACTGCCCTGCCAGGGTAACAGTATTTTCTGAAACAAAGAGTTTTAAAATAGTTTAAGTGATTATTACTAAATTGATGAATTAATATTAATCAAAACACAGATCTCCTCATTAGACTAAGTAGAATATTTGTAAAATCAGCTGTAACATCTAAGCTTTGTAAGCACTTATGTAAAATACACAAAAAATATGCTGCCAGTGAAAGATAGTTGCTGCATTAGAAATTCCCTATATATTTCAAGAATTTGAAATAAAATAATCAAAATAGAGAGAGAAATTCATAATCACAAATATCATAAATGCCAAAATATCACAAAACATGGAAATAATCTTGCAAAGCTGTCTACCTATGTCAACCACAAACCTGTACTAGTGTACACACACCCCTGTTGCTATTGATGTTTTGGAACAGAAAAAAAATTCCTTTTTATCTGGAACTTTTAAAGAAAAAAGGTTTCATTATACTGCCTGCAGATGAAGCCTGAAATTTCCTATTAGTCTCTGGTGACTCACTCATGCTGAGCTTGATACTGTCTTAATCTGTGAGCAATTTACTAATTAGCATTCAATATTTTGAATCATCAAAAATTAAGTGAAATACTTGACAGATACAGAACAGATTAAATTACGGTATCATCACAAATTGGCACTAAAAAAAAAAAAGGCAGTAGAATTCTGGATTCTGCATTAGGGAGTTCTTCCTGCTAGCTTTTATAGGAGAAGGATTGGGCCCCAAATAAGCTAGGACCAGTATCGGGATAGCAATATGTAATGGGACAGATAAAAACAGAAAAAGGATACTTTTATCCTCCAGATTTTTATTTAATTGCTTTCCAAAAGAAAAAATAATGAGAAGTATGCATTCTGATTTGCTTATGAAAAAGCCCTCACAAAAGTCAGCAAAAAACCTTTTTCGACATTTAACTATCTTAATGATTACTTAATTCTCACTTTTGAAAATGCAGCCAGAGATCAGATTACCAAAACTATGTGAACAGTTCCACTGCGGGTGCTCAGGAACGATGAGTGCAAAATCCCTCAACCTTTTTTTTGCCTGAGGGCACTGAATGTATTCGCGTATGCACATTTGTGTATGCACAAGACTCTGTAACGCACGCTCCTCTTTATAAATCACACTTTCTCAGCTTCTTTGGACTAAGCAGTCCTAATTGCCCGTTTCTGATGGCTGATCTGCTGCTGGGAAGTGGTAGGGTATCATATGCAAGAGATGGTATATTGTGGACACCGGAAAGAGCAGGCCAGGAATGAAAAAGGAAAACACCCTGTTCACAAAATGTAAATTGTACGAAAATACCAAGGTGGAGACAGATGCTAGAAACAAAGAATGAAAATGAACTCCTGGTACCAGGGGATTTTTCTTCTACTGGAGCTGAAAATATTCAACTTCTGCCCATCATTGGCCAAGTGTTTTGGATACTGACATTTTAAATTAAGTGTATCTAATTTTTTACCCTCTCTGGCATTTCCTTCTGATAATACAGCAGCTTGGTTTGCATTATTAATACTAATTATAATGAAGCAAATGTAGTGATATACCACAAAGAAAATATCATTCATACTTATTTGTAAAGGAAATGGTCAGCTAAGAGACAAAGTTAGTTAAGGTTTATGTGTGTCCATCCAGACAAAGTAATACTAAGATCTGGGAAACTAAGATTAAGATAACACAATCTTCAGTGCCAATAACAGGCAGACTGACAGTAAGAGAGAATGTCTGCTTCCTACAGATAAGGAAAAAACATACACTACCCAAATACATAATCTTATTTGAAACATCAGTAATATTACTTGACATGTATACACAGAAGTAGATGGTACATTGTGTATATGTAGGGAAAGTATTAGAATAGACTTGAGACTGGGGGGGGGCAGGTTGAGCAGAGTGTCTCTTTGGCTGACGGCTGCTGACAAGAATGCCAAAAAAAAAAAAATATTTCTTGCGGGCAGGCAATCCACCTACAACCCGCTCTTTCCCCTCACCTTCCAGCAGTCATTCCAATACTACTCATGTCCCAAATGCTTCGGGACTGGCTGGTCATTATCAGGATTTTTTTGTCCCCCGTGAGACTGTGATTGCTTAGATGACAGATGTGCTTCTGGGATCACTGCTGAAAGTCTGGTAATGGGCACAGCTGGAATAAATTAATAGCTCCTGCTTGGCTAACAGATGCATTGCAGTGAGGTAAATGAAGACAGAGACTAGCCTAATTATTCTACCTTTTCTGTCAGCCATGTGTCATCTACGCTGAGAGTCTAGTTCAGCAAAGCATTTCATAACTATGTAATTTTAAGCCAATTCTTAAACACTTCAAATAGGCAGTAACATATGATTTTGCTTTTTTCTTAATCAAAGTTCAACACAGCAGCTTTCTTCCCCAAACAATCCCAACCCTCAAAAAAGATTAACCAATGATCAACCTAGATTTCTGACTCACTGATTAAAATGTTTACAACCTGCTACCAATTTTGGTCAAGTATTTATTGCTGCTTACGAAAAACATAGCACATTTCCTAAGCAGTAACTCCTCATTACACTCTTAACATTGCAACAAAAGTTCAAAATAAACATCTTAACTGAAAAAAGCTCCAGTGTCAACAGTGTGAAACAGATTGCATCATGCATTGGAAGCAAACTGTAGCTCTGTGTTTAAGAAAAACTAAACATAGTGAAAACCAGTGGATATTAGTATACGGTGTTGGACAAATGCTTCTTTTTTTACAGATTGTGCCAAAGGGTACGAGAGTATGCCAAAACAAATGGACGCATAGTGATGATGTAACCATGATTACAAATACAGAAGGAAAAATCTGAATGACAAATACATACGATGACAATAACATATATGGGAAAGCATTCAGGTTGCCAAAATATCTTCAGAAATGTATAGTGTATGTGTGCCTGTATGCACATATGTATAAACGTATATGATTTTTTCAGAGAATAATTACTGGAATTCAAATGTGCTAGCAAGTAATTTCCTTCAGTCTCATCAGTCCTCTCTGTATCC